CTCTCTCTCTCTCTCTCTCTCTCTCTTCTACACAATACCTATATCCATCAATATAACTTTCAAACGATATCTATTCTAACACTGTTCAATAAATAAGTTATGTTTTTATTATCATTGTTTTACGTTCTGCTCATTTACTATTTAATTAATTTATTTTATCTATATTTGATTTGTCAGCTTAGTTTACATTTATTTTTTAATAAAATTACTTTAGTTTTAATTTTCCAACTTGTTGTAATTAGCTTTTAGGTTTAGATTTAGGTTTAAAGCAGCATTTATGCTGATATTTCGCCTATTGTATGTGCAATTTTATTTGCGTCTTTGCTGTAATTTTCTGTAATTATTTTCTTTAATATTCTTTAATTACAATTGTTATTATTGTTATTTTACTTATTTTAACATTTCTTACTTTGTGGCATATCAGAGAACAAAACATCACTGCGCGATATTAATACGCCATACGTTTTACAGGTTGCATTCTGCGAAACATGTAGTTTTCACAATTAGAGTAAATAAACTTTATAAAAATTTTCTTGTATCAGACCTTCAACCAACCGGTTAAACCGGATGTGTCGACAAGAGTCGAGTTAGCTAGAAGATGATCGGCGCGGCGTCCGGAACTAGTTCGAATATACAGACGGGGATCGTTACGAAACTGATAAAGCTGCGTATTTTATATACACATATATGTATGCTGTTTAAGTAGGTATAAAAGAGGGTAGAAAGCAAGCGAACTAGCGCAGTCTATGAGTTCACATTCGACAGAGTTTTAACGGGAAAGTCGGATTACGTTTGGTTCGCGTTGTGCGTTGGGAACAAAGGCGAGGTCACCTTCTTGTACCCCGAAGGATTTGCGGGTCTCCGCGAGGACACGCTCGTTCGCGGTTGGAAAAGAGTCGGTGTGGAGGAAGGGCGACAGGCTGGAAATTATAAAAGAGCCATCGACCAACAAGAGTGGGGCAGTCGCTTCCAAGTGTGCACCTGGGGCTCGACGATCGGAGTACGTTCGTTTAATCATAGGATACCTTTTTAGGATAAGTGCTTAAATCATAGATCCCTATTGCTTTGGTTTTGCGCGATTCTTCAAGAGGCAGATTGAGTAAGCGTAACAGTAGGACTTTTTCAATTAATTTACATAATACTTACTCTTACAATTAGCACATTTTATTCTTAGTCCTTTGTGTGAAGATTGTCTTTTCTTATATAGATGTTAAGTGGAATAATTACTTCAGTGTCTATATTTTCGTATCTTTTTTAATTACAAATGTGAATAAATATTAAAAAATTCTAAAAAATTGAATTTTTAAAATTATAATAATATATGCAAGATTTTTATTTTAATTTGTTTTACCAGAACATGAAATGCTTTAACTTAAGATATTTGATGAACAACTTTCTATTCTAAAGATAGTAGGAAGATAAAATTAAATTGATAAAAATTTATAGTAGATATTTATATTATAATTATTTTATTATATACACAAATTTTGAGAGTATATGATTTACACAATATATAATAACCAATTATGTTATAAAACGTTTTAGTTTCACGATTTTATAGCATTTTAACCCTGCATTACTCTCATGTGAGATAAATACACAGCTTTAGAGATGTACTAAATTTACAAAGTAAACCTTATTTATTGTAATATATAATAAATATTGCACAAATTATTTCACAATTAAAAAAGAACTTTTGCACTTCTTTGTCTAAAAGATACACTGAATGGTATCAACATTTATTTCATCATAACTTATTAAAAAGAATAATGAAAATTAAGATATAATGTTTAGGATGTAAAGTACACCTCATCATAAGTAATTATAGTGTAATTATTAAAAAAAAACTATGCAAGTATAATGTAAAAATAATGCATACTTGCAAATAATAAATTGTACACAAGTTTCTTATAAATAATTTTCGATAATTAGATATTTCCTTTCTTAAATTAGATATATCCCCTAATTTCTATAATTAGATATTTCCTTTCCTTTATTAAAAAATTAATAAATTATATGCTTAAAATATTTATATTAATATTTTAGTTGAATAGTCTTTAGCCATTTAAATTGAAAATTACGTCATACTTAAGGGTTGAAAGTCATAATTATACGGCGACAACATAATGACATTGTCTGTGACGTCAGCGATAAGCTTTCTAATCACGTTCGCCAGAATAATTTGTCGAATCGATTAACGCCGCGTGAATTTTAATCGCATGATCTTCGAAGCAGCTTGTCTCATCCTTGGTCATAAAGGCCGACACATGTAACTAAAGGTCGGAAATATGGAACGCACATCGTCATTGTTGCATTTGCTGCAAAATGATATCTAAAAGAAATTCGAGTAATTCAAAGAGAGCGAGATTTTTATCTCGCTCATCAGACGTACGAACTACAACAGAGTTAATTGATCGTAAACCCCGTGACATAATCATCGTAATACACGAGAGCAAGCATATAATGTTACATGATCATAGTGCTGTAATAATGAGCGGTAAAATCTCTTCTTGTGGAACGATATGAAAACGAAAGGATAGATATCGACGTGATGTAATCAACGTAACTTAATCTCATAAAAAAAGCTCTTACGCGCGCGGCCGACAACATTTGAGAGATGAAAGCTCGCGAGTAGTACGTGATAAGTGGTACTTTCTACGCGGAAGAAGATAATATACCTTTAACCGGCTCTATCTATAATCACAGTATACTTTGTGCGTGTTGTCGCAATTACATTTATCGACGTGAGACGGACACAGATACGAAAACGATACAGCGTAAGATACGTATTCAGAGACATAGTAGTGTCTCGGCACTAATGCGCTTCGACGATGGCTACTTTTCTCTTCTTTCTTTTTATTAATAGTTCTCTTGAAACCTGACATGTATCTTGTAGAAGTAGGTGCAATCACGTGCTTACCGGTAAATCTTTTTATCTTTGACTCCGACATTCTATGAGCGATGATATAACTTTGCGGATATTACGTACGCTTAACATTATTTTTGTGGGTCCAGTTACGCTTGCGATACGTAAAGGCAGTATTGCAACAAAGTTATACAACCTTAATTACCCTATGATACGCGGAGATCCATGGTTGAAGAAGTAGAAGTGAATGGTCCAGACGAGAGAACAAGCAATCTATCTCTTTCAATAATAAACGCAATTTAGAGAAGAGAAAGTGAATAGTTAAATCCATTGTGAAATAATTTTCGCTACGTAAAAAAAGACTGCAGTGTTCAAATTTCTTATACTCTTATTCTTTACTGAAAAAAGTATTTTGGTCACACTAATAAGATCTACAAATTTAAAATATAATAAATATAACATCCCAAGTAAAATACAAGTCATCCATAACATTAAAATGACATCTAATGGCAAAATGATTAATGGAAGTCATTTTACAATCAATAACTAATCATTTCAACGTCATTTTAATGTTATCGTGACTTGTTATTTTGCTTGAGATCAAATTTTATATTCAATAACGTAACTGTTATATGTACATGTGTTGTGCATTACATTTATATTGTTGAATGTGAGATGATAACATTAATATTATGTTACTTTATTTGATATTTGGGAAAAATAAACAAAACACGTTTAGATTATATCAATCAAAATTTTAATTATTGTAATTAAATTTGTGAATATTTCTTAATTTGAATGTTTGATAGATTTAATTAATCTAATTTGCAATTTTTTGATTAAATTTATCAGATTTCCAATTTATATAACTAGATATTTTTTCTGTACAGGTAGGATATAGAATTATAATAACATTAAGATGATTTCAAATAGAAATCACTTTAGGAAAAAATTATAATGATGTCATTTGGTACATTTTTGACAATGATTTTTCGGTGAATTTTTGACATAGCAATGATTTTTAAGTGATTTTTTTTTTTAATTAAAAAAGTTACTTAACGATCATTATTATGTCAAGAATTAGTTTAAAAAATTATTTAAAAACTATTCATTATCTCGTTAAAAATGTACCAAAAAGATTTTTCCTAAAATGACTTCTATTGATATCATCTTATTATGATTTTGTTCTTTTTAACTAAAAATTATTTAAAAATCATTGTCATATCAAGAATTTATAAAAAATCATCACCGAAGTGTATCAAAATGATATTATTTTAACTTCATATTGATGTCGTCTTTTCTATTATAATTTATATCTAATATATTATAATCATAATATGTTCTCTCTCTGAGTAGCTTCTTCAACTCATTTCATGTCGCAAGGGAAAAATGGTGTTGTCCATCATTGAAATAATGCCTGAAACAACAATTGTGAAACAGGAATAGTAAAATTAGCGTGACAAGATGGTAATGACACATCTCCTGCAGGAGTCGCGCACCGGCGGCGGTTTGTTTCGATGAACAAAGATGGGTGAACAACCGACAATTGCATAATCGGAGAAAGCGATTGCGAAACAGGTCGGTGCATACTATAAACGCCCTGACTTAAGCACGTGGCCCGGACGCGATGGTACCACGCTAATCGTTATATCATAGACCGACGAAAGGTCCGAGACTTCTTGCCCACAATCGGCTGACGACGCAACCGATCCGCTCCTTTCCAACCAAGTGAAACAGACGAGCACATTTCTTCCGGATGCCTTCGCCATTGAACAGAAACTGTGTTAGCCGGTCACTAAACGGTATCGTTTGGCGATTCGGAAGAAAGTGAAACATGCTGTACCGCATTCACGCTGCGTGCGCGCGCGCATAATTAAATTGGAAATTATTATACGAGAAGATAATAAATAAGAATAAATAACTCTCACACACTACATAGTAGTAAATATGTAATAAGTTATTACATATTTAAGTGTGTTATTATTAATAATACACACCTATAATAATGTGAAATTCTAAAAGAGGAATTATTTATTTTATTAAAAAATGTAATTTGCACTTGAACAAACATATCCACACACCAAAAATTCAAAATTTTACATATTTTTAATTAAATAGATACTTTTTCATTTTCCTCGCGTTATTTGTTTTATCTTTTTGAATTAGTTTATAAAAAAACAATACAGCGGAAGAAGTAAAATCTGAAAATCAGTTCAAAAATTTTTGATAAATATATAAAAATTTCAACAATATTTCCAGGTGTCTGTAAGTCTAAATAAATCACTTAACGTCTTTCGAACAAAAGCAAAATGGGAGCAGTGGAATGGGTAGCCGATGAGGACAATTATGAGTGCCCTCTCTCGATAGAAACGCAGAAGATGGCGAAGGAGGAGCTTAGAGAGGACAAGAACACCAGAGATCAGGCTCTCGAGCAGATGCGCAATTGGATCAAAATGAACCCGCGTATTCAAAATTGCCGTCTCGGTGAGGTTACATCATCAAATGGCAATCAATACGAATATTAGAGTAAAAACAATTTATGCCTTGTCAATTTACGACGAAAGATTTTGTAAAAAACACAGTAATTTAACTAAAATTCCAATTGAATATTCTAATAATTCAATTAAAAACCTGGTTACATTAGGATGATAACTAATTGCGTAAGTCTGTAAATGGGCATAATCACTTCACGATTTTGTAAGACATTAGAAGAATTTTTTACATTTTTTAACAAGCAGTCTCGAGCCTGCAATTGCACGTAATATATATGTATATATCAATAATTACAAGACGCGCAGCTAATTTTCCATCTTTTGTTAGATGCGCGATTCTTACTAAGATTCTTGCGAAGCAAAAAATTCAATGTCCCAATGGCTGAGGAAGCCACTGAAAGATACCTCCTGCTCCGTCAGGTGTATCAACAAGCGTTCCATAAATTGGACATCACACAACCGAACATGGAGGAGTTACTATCATTGGGGTAAGTAGTTCAATTGTCTCATTAATCGTTACAAAAGTATTTGTAAGTAATCAATCTGTAAGCAACAAATATATGGAGGCAAATGTGATTTATGATTTTGTTTCTAAAATTTTTATTTGTTCGCAAAAGTGCTTGTAGGCAATTAATCTGTAGATAAATGAGATGTAGGAAAATGGTACTGTAGGTAAGCAATCGATTTGTAGGCAAACGAGATCCTTTCAAATTTGGCGATGTTTACTGATGCTTGGAGAGGAGCAAAAATTTATGACATAAAATGTAAAATAAATGTAAATTAAATAATTAATTAAAATAATTAATTTATTTTAAATAATTATCTTAAATAATTATCTTTGATAATTTGTGCACCAACAATTGTGCGTGACTCTCATGTGCCTATTTTTATTTTAATTTATTAATATAATTAAGAAAAAATCTAAGAATATTGTTATTGATTTTATTATAAATTTGTTCAATGTTGTTTTGACATTCTGCGTTGTATCAGATTATAATTTATTTACTTAGAGTAATGTTATTCAAACATTTTTTAATATTTTAAAATCTTATATTATTAGATAATATTTAGAAACTATTTATAAAATGTTATATAAGAACGTGCACAAAATTTATATAAAATCAATGACTACATTTAGCAGAGAAAACTAATCACTTAGCGTTTAGTGATTCTTTAATATAATTGGTTCCCCTACACTTACTTAGATCCAGTGAAGAACTAAAGGTAGAATTAAACACAAAAATAAATTATATTAAAGAATTACTAAGCGCTACCTAATTAGTTTTCTCTATTGAACGCAATCAATATTTCAAAGTGTTAATCTAGCTTTTTACTTACTGAGCCATTTGCGATCTCTTCTTTTAGATATCTCTTCGTAGCACCTGGTCGTGATGCAAAAGGTCGCCGTGTTATAATCGCTAGACCAGGTACATGTTCGTTACTTTATATTATACTTTATATGTACAGAACATTTGAATGTTATTATATAAAGTTAGCAAAGTATATTTAAACACTTTAAACACACTAAAGTATAGTAAGTATACTTAAAGTAAAATGACAAACGAAAAAATAATTGAAAATGTTCGGAATTCTGCATTTCTCCATTAATTTGTCTATTACAATAAAATATTATTTATTACGTAATTATTTTATAAAAATTCTGTAAAACAGTTTAAACATATCTAAAAGTCTATATATGTCGCTAAAAGTCTGTACATGTAATCATTTTTGGTGCTTCTCTTTCGTCACGTTTGTTAATTGTCCGTATATGTAATTTCCGCTCAAGGCGTATTTGATCCTCACAAATACACGAACGTGGATATGTGCAAGATCCATGCTATCACTTACGAGACATTAATGGAAGATGAGGAGAGTCAGGTGCGTGGCTACGTACATTTCACCGATGGTGCTGGTGTTAGTTTTCCTCATTTGACGCTTTTTACTCCCAAAGAAGCAGTGCGCATCGTAAAAAATGGCGAGGTGAGATAAAAAATATTGTATATAATTGTATAAATATATTAATAATAAATTTAATAATGGGGAATATTTTTTAATCCAAACTTATTATTCTTTAATTCTCTTTTTTATTCTCAAGTATTTTTATTAATGAAGCAGTATATTACTGATGTAAACTTACTTAAATATTTTTAAGTCAAATAAAGACTTTTAAATATTTGCGTAACAATTTTCTGCGACATTTAAAGTTTTAAAATTTATTTTACAATCTTGTTTAAAATTCTTCATTATTTGCCTCATTTAATTAGTTAAGATAGTATTTTTTTTATAAATTATGTTAGATAATCATTTTTATTTTTGTTACATATCTTATCTAACCAACAAGCTATTATGTTTGATTCCCGCAAAAATGTTCCGTTTTCTTCATTGAGGCATAATCGATTCAGCTACGAGTTTGACCAAGGACGATGTCACGTACTCACGTAACAAATTTCATAACGTTTCTCAAAGCGTACAACTTAAAGACCGGTTTTATATCTTTTGTCTATTATGGCATTAACTGAAAAGCTAGTTAAAAGATTTTCAAGAGCTTATTTAAGAATAGAATGAGACTTATTTAAATATGAAAAATTGAATTATGAGGAACATAAATTGATTTCTACTAATAAATTATTAAAATATATTTTTTTGCTATACCATACTGAAAAAAATATCTTAATATGTAATATTATCGTAAATCCTGAAAATAATGCCTGAAACCAATTTTTGTGTTACGAATTTTGTTTATAAAAGTAATCTTTAAAATACGCGATAATAGTAATTTACTTAATATTTTATATATTCATATATATAGTCATATAATTCTATTTGTGAACATATATGTTAGTATAATGTTATAAAAATTTATAAATTACTTACATGTTAATTGAGGATGTATGTAACTATCTAAAAGGTATTTTTTGTAATATTATTATAATCTTTTTATATTGAGATTATCTCTATCTAATATACAAATAGAACCGATATTTCGATAGTCTGATTAAGCAGAGATAACAAAGATACTAACTCATATCTAAAAATAAAACTCATGTTTTTATTTCTATACAAATATAAATAGAAGTCTAATTGAAATGATAACGTATAATGACAATATAGATAAGCAATCAATTTTTATTTTCTCTTATCAGCATTTTGAAACAGAAAATGTTTTGAAGCAGAAAATTAGTTTTGTTGTTTGTATTTGTGTGATTATCGTAATTTTAAAGAAGAATTTATGTATATGTACAAGGAGAGAAGGATTTCTTAAAATTTACCCTGAAAATATAGTAATTATGGTACAATACAATAAAATTAAAAATTTTTACCATGCACTTCAGTAAAATTAATCATACTTATTTTATATTTTATTGTAGTTTTATGAATGAATGTGAGAGATTTACATAAAAATTCTTCGAAATATAATGTTGTCCCACGATTACTATATTTTCAGGGTAAATTTTAAGATATAATTCTTTCCGTGTATAATATAATAAAAAATGGTATAAATAGCAGTAACAGTAATTGTTTTCAGCGCACCGTACCAATGAGACATAAAGAAGTCTATGGAATCAACTCCCATCCCTCAGTAAAATTCGCCCTGGATTTCGGGATGTCATTGATTTCTGAAAAGATTAGAAGTCGCGTGAAGATTTACACGAGTCTCGAGGACGCTATTAATCGCAAGCTCGACGTCACAATGCTGCCTAAGGAGTACGGTGGTACTATCCCCATGAAAGAGATGATCGGTAATTCAGCTTAATATTGCATTCCTTAAGCATTATACGTTGTATTGTTTCATCGTAGGGAAAAATAGTAAAGGTAACAAAATCTTTTTTTCAATGCAGATCTATGGCGGAAAGAATTATTGGAAATGAAACCAACGTTACTGAACAACGATAAGATGAATGTCTGTCTTGAGCTGTATTCGGAGAAAGCGCGAGAAGGTGCGGTCTCGGCATTGAAGCAAGGATTCGGCTGTTCCAGTGTGGGATCCAATGATACCACGATGTGCGGCATAAGCGGCTCCTTTAGAAAGCTCGAAGTCGATTAATAGTTTCGATATTCTTTACTTATAAATACGTTTTTATCTAGAGATAAACAGCACGGGATCATGAGATACAGATTCATTTTGGACACCGCACATATTTTTAGATTAGTCTTGGTAGCAGAGAACGTAATTTTATTTTTGTATTATGTAGATAATAATACACAATATAATATAACTGATGTGTGTTATTTAGAATCGCACTGTGAACATATATCGGACACTGTACATAATTTTCATTAATGTTTCATAATTAATATGACAAAAAAATGTGGTTCTATTTATTCGTCTTTTGTTGTAAACATCAATAATTTCCGGAGTATTCGTAAGAACTTAGACAGGAACTTTTATGAGGAAATCCATTTGCCAATTATTTTGCGAATTTTTGCTCTGGCCTTTTTCAAATTATCTGGATCCGTAGCTATGTCGCTATATATATCGCGACAGTGTGAAGATCCTTTAAAATATATAATGCACTATTATATTATCTTCTTATGTTAGAAAAAAATGTATTTTAATATGTTGCATAATTACCACTAATGACAATAGCAGGTGAAAAAGCGTTTAGATCTTGAAGCACCGATAACGGATGCCATGGATCGCTATCTCCATTTACGAAAATGACGTTTTGTAAATCCGGTAATTGTCCTCCGTACATTATATTCGTCCTTCTCACATGTGAATTTAATATCTTTTTATTATAACTAAAATTGAGTTTAGCGTTTCTTACTTTAAAAATAATTCAACACTTTATTTAATAAGTAATCATAGCTACGATCATAAATTGTTTGACATTCGAAGAAATCTGTTGTGACGAACTGTTTTGGCGTGTATCACGCACATTTGTACAAATTACGGAAATAAATGACACTCTAGCAAGGAAAATATTAGGTCGCTATTTTTTTAAGTACTTACTAATCACCATACAAATCGGTACACAAATTGATGTAATAATTTAAGGGAAACAGCTTTCCAAAGATTGATCTATTTGAGTTTGTTGTCTGATAGTAACCGTATTCCGTGCAGGTCTGATGATACCACTGCCTCACTGTACAATAAACATTATTCCTTGTTGTACAACACGTGTCATACGATGTAATTTAATCTATTTTGTTAGTTGTTTCAACTCACTGATACTCGTGGCTGCCGGCGAGTCCCACGAAGTCTCTTGATATATCTTTACAAAATTATTATAACTTACATCAACACACTTGTCCTGATTCAAAAAGAGGCGTGCGAGTCTCTGTAGGGGACTGCCCAAATGCTTAGCTGTCATTTTATCACACAATGCCGCGATATTTGTTTCACCATTCTCGATTTTATTATACTGGACGACTCCGGCAAATATCTAAAGTTTAAATAAAAATGAATATACAAAGAAATGGAGCAATGTCTTCAATTGTTCACATACCTCTGACAGCGTATTCATGAAGTAACCAAGATCACTAGGAGACTTTACATCAGGCACGTGACACAAGCTAAACTCGATATTAATAATAAAAGAAATTATAATTTCTAATTATTATAAGTTACTTTTTCTCTTCAGTTTATTGTCCGAGCGCAAATTAAGTATTAACAAATAGCACGTGGATTCCAAATCATATTTAAGCTTACTTGAAGAGAAGTTTAAGTTTACGTGGACCGGCTTTCGTGGCTAATAATTCCTCTACCAATGAGAATGCAGTTTTAACAGATTCAACGCAATTTTTACTGTGTTTGCCGAGCGAGTCTGTCACGACCTCGAAATATTCTATGAAATCAAATAATCTTAGGGAATATTTTTAGGGATTATCTGCCAATCAAATAATTTACCGTAAAAATCAGCCTTTGCCTGAACCGGAGCGCTGCTGGCTAAGGTTCCCTGTGAAAAATAATCTTCTCTTTTATTGATTCCTTTCATTAAAAAATTTATCAATTCTTCTTCATGTTTAAGATATAAATATATAAATAAAAATATAACATAAACGATACTTGTATGAGATGAGGATATTTGAGGCGTGCCCAGGCCGCCATATTTCCAGCATAAGAGCAACCGACTACTATTACGATACTCTTTCCTAAATTCTTTTCTTTTTTCTTCGTTTGAATGAAGTAAGCGAGATCAGCGAGTGCCTGGTCGGCGTTCAAGTATTGTAAATTTTCCGTGCTAATGTCTCTATAAATTTGTATCGTGCAATATTAATTTTGCATTATCAATAAAACTTATGTTTTTTCTCTATATGAATACACATTCATGTTACAATAGACTCACTCCAGGGAATGCAATGGAAGTAATTAGTTACTCTAATTGTCGTTACTTAATTATTTATCTTGTTATAATGACGATTTGATAATGTTGCGAAGTTTTTATGATGCTAATATAACACCAGAGTTGGAACAGACAATAGTTAAATTTTTCGTAATAAAATTGTGTGTGTGTTTATTATAGATTTTAATATTTACGGTCTTGTACGATTTTTAGTTTAATCAATAGTTATTTATAATGTATTGGAAAAGTCATTCGTTATTAAAAAAAATAACTCGTAATTTATAAATTGTTTTTTTTTAATATAATGAACTAACTTTATGGTATTACTCGTTACTTATAATATTACTTTTTTCAATATTGGTAACGTGTAATTTACTTTTCAATATTGATAAAATTTACAAAGTGACTGTTCTAATCTTAGCGTAACGTTTAGTTAGTCATCGTTACAGTAATATTTCAATATTATAGTAGTAAAAGATTGTATCCTCATTATTAAATTGTTATTATAAAAAGTAATTGTAAAAGTGACAGAAAAGTAACTCTTCCATTCCCTGCTATAATCACAGATAAATTGTAATGTACTGTAAGATTATCAAAAATTTAAGTCAGTGATATCACATTATCTTAATCTGTGAATGTCACATGTCGTAACAAGATGCAATTTTTATCATAGCTTCATAAAGATAGCGATGTTACACCTGTGACAAAGTGGAAATTTACACGTCACTATGACTTTGCTATGATGTCACATCTGTGACAAAACGGACATTCACACGTCACCATGACTTTTCTGTGATATTACCGTGACCTTTTTTATTATGGAGAAAGCTACGGATTATGTACTTCGTCGGTCTGCTCTGTCCATAGAATCGATGTTCGGTGTAATACATCAAACCGTGGTATTTTACACCGATTTCGTACATCAGTCCACCTTGCAAAAATCCATCCGTTATCTCCCATTCTCCGCCGATCATGATCAACATGGGACCATTTTTCTTTAGAAATGCGGAGTTTTCTTTGTAACGCTAGACAGTGATCAAGTAGCATGTTAAAAAATATACGTTATAAGTAAAACAAGTTTTTTGCGATGATGATATATAATTACCATCGACCAAGTGCGATTGTCGCGATAGTTGAAATGATCAAGAGGCTGAGTGATCCAACCTTCAACTATATTCTTGCCTGCATTTTTTGTAGACGGCTCTGGCTCCTCCAAGCCTTGAAAAGTAAATCCCCGAAAACCCACCCCGTTGACGAGGGGATGGATTGAGCACAGAATGAACAATATGCTTAATGCTATCATAATCCGTTTTTCGTTAGTAATGGTACAGTAGAGAAAGTTTTGTATATTTTAGAATACACTAGATAAACGTTAAAATGTGACTGACTATTACTTGCCATTTTCTTTAGTTATGGTTAGCAAACCGATACGATATCTTCCATCAATAACCCGATAACTCTGACACTTTATTGCATTAGCTACTCTTAGAGGAAATGGGAAATAATACTCCGATAATAAGTAACAGCGAGCAAAAATAATCTGATAATTAAAGAATGTTTATTGACTACATGCGATTGCTTGGCATGGATATTTGTGTATATCTTTATCGCGCGATAAAAGGTATCATTTGGATTAAATACACGACTTACGTAATATATATAATTTTTAATTTTTAAGCGGGAAATATTTGATTTATATTTTTATATTGGATTATACTTGCAAAATATACGATAAAGGGAGTTTATTTAATCACTTCAACATATTATATTATATTATATTATATTAAGAATTTTAAAATAATGTTATGAGAATGAGATTAATAAAATCATGGTAACGAGAGAGAGAGAGAGAGAGATGGAGGGAGAGAGAGAGGGGGAGAGAGAGAGAGATAAATCGTAAATATGTCTGTCTACACTAACCGGCAAACACCTGTTAGCTCAAAAGATCAACAAGGTTTCTTGGCAGGACGGCTGTCTGACTCGGCATAAATCTTCGAACGTTTCCATTCCATATAATTAATATTATACGACACATGATTGTTGTTAAGCCTGTAGTACACCATACATATTTCCCTACTGGATTACTTGCGTTTAGAAAAAATGTATCGCTGATTTTAAGCTATGTATGCTGTTGTATTAAATGCGGATATAGGTATAATTTGTTTAACGATAAGCTAACATTCCAAAAAATTAAAAAGAATTTATTAAATTCTGTAAGTGAATGTTATCGTTACGATATTCTGATTATCAAAATGTTAGAAAAATCTATAAAAGAAAATTAAAAAAAACTAATAAAAAAATTCTTGATTAAAAAAATATGTAATTGTAAAATTTGTAGTCATGCAAAGTACAGAAGATACATTTATTAAGATGATTATATGAAAATATTTGATTAGATCAACTCATTATAATGTCGTTAAATTATTAAATAATAACATGCGTATATGCATATATACAACACATATGCATGCTTTCGTTTAATAATTTAACGATATTGTAATGAGTTGATCTAATCAAATATTATCACATAGAATGAGAAATATGCCGTTTGTATATTACGTGACTCTCAACTTGGTATTCAATAGTTAGTACTTGAAATTGCAACAGTTCATATAAGATAACAGTTCATAAGATCATGGTTGATTCTATACAAAGAGCTTTTGGACCTCTGGCCTCAGTTGGTTTTGTTCTTGGTTTAGGAAATTTCAAATATCCTCTCAGTTATTGGAGATTTCGCTTATGTGTCTTCTATACAATAATTGTGTGGAGTTTTTATACCTATGCGTTTCATGTTATGCTAATCGGATTTTCACCAGTGCATATATTTGATAATCCTTTGACTCTTACATGGATAAATATAAATATTCTTATAACGATAGTATCTGTAACTATCACCATTTGTAAACAGCAGGTATATTTTTTTATTTATAAATATTAAATCATTTTACTACTTCTAATCTAACACAAAGCAGATACTACACAATAACATTACTTACCATTTTGGAAAATTATTTTTATTTTTATTTATTTAGAAAAGTCAAATTTAATTA